AAAACCTTACTGACCTAATACGGACAAACTGGAAACCTAATTACCCTCCTAAGTCATTATCCCTAAAAACAAACAACACCATAAACAATGTACAAAACTCGTAGTCATGTTATCATATCTATGTGGAGTCATTTTCATGATAACTATCCCTTTAAACTTTTAAACAAATAAGAGTTGTAAAAGTTAAATATAGAGAGGGAGGATGTTGGGACACGATTCTATCAAAGCTCCACGAATACAAGACTTTGTTTTCAACATATGTTAATGAATACGCGTACGAAGTTTAGGTGAAATGAGAGAAATTAAATCACAAAATGGGATGCGTGCATGTAAAGCGTTTGAATGCCCGACTTTAAAGAACATATGAAAAGCGGACAAAACAGTGCTCTTCCTAGGATACTTTATGACAGAATGACTTTCATAGCTATTTACATAATTTCATTTTTCATGATTATTGTCCCTTAAAAATTTTAAACAAACAAAAGTATTAGAAGTTAAACACAAAAGTGAAAGCCAAAAGAATGTTAGGAACCATAATGAATACGCAATTTTTTATGTATAAACTATAAAGTGCATCATCATTCCGTTATACTAAAATTCATTCATTTATAAAACTTCAACTTTTCATTAGTAACATTAGCCATAACCATAACCAAAAGAAACAAGTAATTTAATCCCAAAATCTACCCTCAATTCAAACCATTAGTTTAGGTAAAATCTAGAATACCAACTACATAATATCTATACCACCACCCATTTTCATTTTTGTTAGCAAAAAATTAAGCAAAAACCTTAAACCTTATATATATATATATATATATATATATATATATATATATATATAACCACTTCCATAGATTGAAATTAAAGGGTGGAAAAACCGCCATCAACCACTATTTCCAACCATCAGCAACAACCGAGTCATACCCACTCCCGCCACCAGCCGCCCACGAATCACCATAGTCCACCGCCTCAGCCGCCGGAGCACCATAGTCAAAACCGCCAGAACTCTCACCATAATCCACATTGCCATAGGAGTTGCTATTTTCATTCCCACCATAACCCCCACCATAGGAATTGCTATTTCCATTCCCACCATAACCCCCACCATAGGAATTGCTACTTCCATTCCCACCATAACCCCCGCCATAGGAATTGCCATTTCCATTCCCTCCGTAATAACTCTCACCGTAAGAATTGTCATTTCCGTCTCCGTTTCTGTTTCCGCTCCTGAAGTCATGGGCACCAAACTTGCCGGAACCATAACGGCGGTCACTAGAGGAAGAATAGCTACTTGCATACTCATCAAGCCAATTGGGAGCTTCTTGGTGTGATTCCTTCATAAGATCGGAAAGGGATTTAGCAATTACCAAGTTTTTGCTGTTAAAAAAGGCGGTTGCTAAGCCCGATTTACCGGCCCGACCCGTTCTCCCGATCCGGTGGACATAACTGTCAATGTCACGGGGCAAATCAAAATTGATGACATGGGCGACACATGGGATGTCAAGTCCTCTTGATGCGACATCTGTCGCCACCAAGATTGGTGTCACTCCATTCTTAAAGGATCTCAATGCTCTTTCCCTTTCCTACATTTAACATAAAATTAATAATCAAATAAGATTACATGCAAGAAATAACAATTTACTTTCTTTAAATCTACCAAGTTACAACATGTTCTTCGAAATACAAAGCAACTTTTTATTGATAAAATTAGGTAAAGTTTTCAAAATATTGTAAGAACTAGAAGTCAAAAATTGAAAGTACAACACAATAAATTGGTAGATTCGTCAAAATTTAATGTTGTTATTTATTGCAATTGATGTGCGAAAATAAACGATTGCATTCAAATGTGTAAATAAAACATTTCCATCCAAAATCAAATCCCATTTACACCATTTTTGCACACCAGAATGATGTAAGAGAATAGAGTAACACCAAATTTGGTGTTACGATATTCATTTACACCATTTTAATGTTCTAACTTTTATGTACTATTCATTTACACCATTTTAATGTTTAACTTTTATGTACAATTTGGTCCTTTAAGTTTGAATAAATACACATTTGCAATTAAATTGTATATTTATATTTTAAATGTAATCATCAAGCTACTTGTAATAGTATCTAATATATTCAATTCATACTACTTACGTTTAGAATTTATTTAAAGATCTTTTAACAAAAAGATTTGTAAGAGAAATTTGAAAAAATTGATAAAAACAAAGAGTATTTTACTATTTTAGAATATAGATGAAAGTTAAAACTATTAATTTGGTGATAATCACTAGTTATACCAAACATTACACATGATGTGAAAAATGGTGTTATTAATTGCGATAATCTAATAAGGGAAAAAAATAATTTCATCTAATTACATAAATAAATAAAACTAAGTTGTTAATCTTGAAATAAATGAGAAAATAAGAAAGTCTCACAAATTGAACTTTATCGCCATGTATGGCAGTCGCCGGAAAACCAATCCGGCAAAGCCAGTTTTCCAAAGTATCTGCAGCCCGTTTCGTCTCCACAAAAATCACAATCAATGCATTCTGAATCAAATCAACAAACGACAAGAAAATTATAAAAACATTTACACCAATTTCAAAAGAGATAATCGATCGTATGATTCATATCTACCTTTCCTAGGTTTCCATTAGCTTTCTGATCATGAAGAACATTTCTTAAATACTCGCGTTTTTCCTCATCCTCGACAAATACGACTTTTTGAACGATCAAATCGGTGCTAGAACCGACTCTTCCCACCGAAAGAAATATGTAGTTTGAGAGAAAATCAGACGCAAGCCTCTGCAAAATAAAAGTTCATCCATTAATGGTGTACGATTGTTTATGTTTGTGTAGATTTTAAATCAATTTGATTAAACTAACCTGAATTTCAGAGGGGAATGTCGCGCTGAAAAGCATTGTTTGTCTTTGACCAGGAGGAGGCATATCCAAACACTCAACGATCTTTCTGATTTGGGGTTCAAATCCCATATCCAACATTCGATCGGCTTCATCTAACGCCAGATGTTTGATCTTTTTGAGCGACACTCTTGATCTTTCGATCATGTCAGTTAAACGTCCAGGAGTCGCCACTAGTATATCCACACCCTTTTCAAAGGAACGTAACTATCACCAATATCGAAGAACAATGAGTCCGATTAGATTCGAATATCGGGAACGGAGGATAAAAATGAAGAAATTGACTAAATCCATGTTCTAATACAAACCTGGTGTTGAATCGGCGCACCTCCATAAGCAACAGCAACTTTGACACCAGTTTGATGGCAGAATTTCTTAGCTTCTTCGAAAATCTAAAACAGATAAAACTCAAAAATCAAAGATCCAAACATATGATAAAGTATAAAGTTCCATAAAAAAAATATGAGCAAGCACTACAGAAACTTACGAACAAAAAAAGCAAATCAAACCCTTAAATGATAGCTAAAAATGTAGCAAAACGTACAGTGATATGAACAATCATCGATCATGAATGCAAAACATGATACACATGAGAGTTGTGAAAAGAATGGCATAATGAACAGAAACAAAATAGTGAAGAAAATGGAATCATGGAGTTCACCTGACAACAGAGTTCCCTGGTCGGAGACAAAATAAGAGCGAGTGGGTACGACACCATCTCCCTGCGTCCGTACGGCACCGGCGACTGTATTTTCAGAACGCCGCAGATGATCGGAAAGCAAAACGCCGCCGTTTTCCCCGACCCGGTCTGTGCACACGCCATTAAATCTCGTCCGGCCAAAGCTACAGGTATGGCATGGCGCTGAATCGGCGTCGGCTTCACGTACTTACACCTGTTCTTAATGTTATCGTTCAAGGAGTCACCTAAATCGATATCTGCAAACGTGTTCACTGGTTTGGGTACATCGGACCCGGTAATCTCAACGGGTATATCTTCATATGCATCGAAATTGATCGCCATACTCTTGTTTTCCGTTTCAGAAACTTCAAGTTCATTAAACTTTTCGGTGAGATTATCGTACTGGTTATGAGTTCTCGCATGTTTGTTAGGGTCATGGAACTCTTTATCGACCACAGAGTAGCCGCGTACGAAACCACGACCACCGCCTCTACTACCCCCACCGCGGCCACGGCCGCGGCCGCTACCATTGTTTCCGGTTTGATAACCGTACCTGGTGGTTTCATCTGCATTGTAGTTGTTTCTCTGGTGTGGTGGAACATAGTTAGGTCGACCACGTACGGATTTCGCAGCCATCTCTGCGTAAGAATCGGAGAAGAACGAATGCGACATGATTTCGTAAGAGTTGAAATGACCTAAAAGATATAGATTACAAAATGCAAAAGGGTATTAAACCCTATACTATGAGCTTGCTATAGTACTGTAGGGGGAGGATATGATTGTGATATATAGGTGAAGAAGATCAAGAGATTGATCGGAAGGAGAAAGGTCGTTTTGTGAGGTGTACTGCAATGGTAATGGTGTAGAAGAAGAGGGTTTTGGGAGTTTTCATGAGTGCAAAAAACCCTATTTTAAGAAGGATGAGGAGATGATGGGTTGGTTTTCATGGCGGAGAGAGAGAAAGCTCCGGTGAAAATGGAAGTTAAAAAGGGGAAGGAGGAAGGGAGTGGGTGGCAGAGGGTTACCGTACTTTTTGGAGCGTGAAGTCCAATCACCTGCAACAGCAAAATATCTGTAGATAACAAAATTTAAATAACAAGGAATTTGTATTTGTAGCTTTGTGATTATATCATCGTATTAAGTTTATTTGATCGAACAAACGAATATAATCACTTTTTCTTTAATGTATCAAAATATAACTTAATGTTTTATGTTTTTATAAATAATAGATAATATATAGCCCATAATTTGTAAAATTTTCATTGTGAGTTTCATTATTAACTATGAAAACAATTGCTTGTTTGATATTCATTAAAATTAAGAAAAATAAATTTGGTAATTTTGATTTGTTGTCTAAAATAAAATGATCATTATATATTTTTAATTATTTTTATCTTTTATAGTTTTTTATATATTTAAAAGACGAAATTGCAAAAATGGTCTTTGTGGTATATATATTTTTTCTGGGTTTTCGACTTTTTTGGTTTTGTGGTCCTTTTAATTATGTTTCTAGATGGAAATAGGCCCTTCGAAAATTAAAAATAACTATTATACTCTTTTATTTTTATTTTATATTTTTTAATACCTATATTAATATTTTAATAATAATAATTAAAACAATAG